TGGTGGGACGGGGATTCGAACCCGCAACCCTCAAATTGCGAGTCGAGTGCCCTAACCACCTGGCCATGCCGGGCCAGTTGTAACTATAAATGATTATTTGTATAATAGTTCAATATCTTGAATATTGTTTTTTTTATTTAAAGAAACCATTTTTCAACTTTTCCAAAGGTTTTGGTTCTAAACTTTAAACTTTCTTTTCAAAAAGATATTATAATATTTTTGCATCCTATATTTTATTTTGAAAATAATTTCTATTGCTTTTAGTATTAAAGAATAATATATTTTAACTATCGTGTTTTGCTTATCATACCTATTATTAATGTATTTTAATAACATTTATAATTACTTAGTATTCAGTTATACACTTTATAAATTGAAAATAACTATAAAAAGATTCTTTGTCTCAAATAAGATCATTTATAAAATGCTAGCTGACATACTCGTTCAACGCATAAGGAAAATATAAAATGTGTGATCCGAACGCCAACCCCACTATGTCACTTCCCGAGGGCTCAAGGGTACATACTAGTGACAATCATTTCAGCGGCTCACTCGCCAGTTTACTGGAGAGAGAGCCTTCTGTATATCTATTAAGGAGTTGTTCCAGATTGAGAAAACATAGCATTATACTACACAAAACAATAATGTTAGTCTTCTCAGGGCATATGCGCTACCAACGTAACTGTTGGTCATTCTATCGAAAAAGAAAGCAGGCTGTATCCTCGAAGGGTCATCTGACATGTCAATAGAAAATGTTGCTGTTTACTTTTAAAGAATAACATATTGAATGAAGGACCCAGAACAATAGGTAAATAAGGGGAAAGGAGCTTGGTCGTTTCCTTGAACAACATTCAATATTAAAACTACACACACCCGTATATATGAAAATTTCGAAAACAATTCCCAGTAAATAAGGAATTAGCAAACACTGCATACCACACTATTGTGATAGTTTTTGCTTATATATGTATCAAGCTTTCAGTGAAATATTCATTTATGGATTAACAGCAGATTCACATACTTGCACCAATAAACGAAAGAATACTTTATCGAAGTTATTAACTTGCACATAAATCTAAAACGATAATTTATTGAAGTTACATTTATTCTCGGTATCACAAACAGGCAATTTACCAAGCCTAATGAAACTAACATTATTACTGGCTAACTGTGAGCCAGTTTTTGAATTCTGAATCAAAAATATCTCAAATAACATTTTCTGTGTCTATTTGGTTCAACAATAACACAAATATAAGTAACAACTAATTTTAACTAACATTATTTTTCGTTAGTGAAAAAGAAAACGATAAAGTTATGACAAGTAAAATCTGATATGTGAACCGATAATATTTGTATTTTAGCAATAGACACTAAACAAACTTGACTAAGTTGAAAACACTGATATGTATTACGATATCAAGTTGTTACTTGCATAAATTAACCAGTAAATGTTTAAAAAGTATTCACTAGATGGCGCTCAAGATTTCTTTCTGCTAACTGAGGGTATCCCTTAAGGAATCAAAAATTGTATTAAGGACAGGACAATGTTAGATAATGTTCCCCTTTTGCTTTTATATGTCTATAAATACGTGGAAATGTTCCTTATTTAAATGTATCTTTTATCTGCCTTCTCGAGCAAAAATCCCAAAACAAGATAGCCCTTGCACACCATCGGACAGTTTCCAGTTATCATACCGAAAATCACTGTAATCAAGCCTGTTAACTTTGGGTGATGGATGTTTACACATGTACACACTTAATGGATCCTTTTTATAATAATATTACGAATTAAGGAGTGAGATTTAATCTCATTCGTCACCTTGTAATATTGTACAAGTAATAACAAAATTTGTTTGCAAAAATTAAGTATAGTGTAAAGGATGGAAATGCCAAAAAGTACAGAAATTTTCGCTGTTTCTCTTTCTACTTATGGCAAAAATTGTGGTTTCTTGTAACTTTTCGTTGTTTCTCTTCCTGCTTATGGCAAAAATTGTGGTTGCTTGTAACTTTTCGTTATTTCTCTTCCTACTTATGACAAAATTGTGGTTGTATCTAACTTTTCGTTATTTCTCTTCCTACTTATGGCAAAAATTGTGGTTGCTTGTAACTTTTCGTTATTTCTCTTCCTACTTATGGCAGAAATTGTGGTTGTATCTAACTTTTCGTTGTTTCTCTTCCTGCTTATGGCAAAAATTGTGGTTGTATCTAACTCTTCGCTATTTCTCTTCTTACTTATGACAAAAATTGTGGTTTCTTGTAACTTTTCGTTGTTTCTCTTCCTGCTTATGGCAAAAATTGTGGTTGCTTGTAACTTTTCGCTACTTAAAAAAGAAAACAATCGAAACGAGAACGTCTTCTTTCATTGCATCTTTCGTAATAGATTGCACCAAATCACCAGTGAGTTAGATTTTACAATGTTCAGGATCACGAAAAATGGATAATCTTAATAATTAACGACTTCTGATCAAAATTAAACTAATTACGTAGATTAGGAATAAAAAAAAAGGCAACTTACAAATTAGTGAAACAATCCTGTAAATGACAAACTGACCAGCAGTATTTGACGTCATAAATTTAATACACAAGATAACTAAAACCTGTAATGGTAATGGTCAGGCTGTAATGAATCATAATGTCGGCATTCTCGTTCTTAACGCTGTCTTTAATCATATAATTTCGAGATCCATGCAGATGAAATCAGTCAGGTTGCAACAGGCCTAAGGATGATCTTGCTTATTCTTTTCAAAGTTTCCTTTAGAGTATTATCCTATTCTTGAAATTATTGCCAAAAAGAAAAGTTTACAGTGATTAAATATCATTACGACTCCAGAACTTTTAGGATTAGATGTAGTCAATATTTTGAAACTGAAATACAGAAGCAAATTCATAGTTGTTCCTTACTTAATCTGAGTTGCTCCTTATTATTCCTGATCACTAGTTGATTTCCGTAGCACATTAGGTGTGCTGTAAGAGTGACGGGCCAATCCCACAATATGATCAAACAAGAGCAGCTTTTATTGTCGAACATAAATATTCTTATAAGCTCACTTCGTTTAGATTGGTCGTTCAATGTGTTATTTTCTAGTGTTTAGTGTAAATGAGTTACCGTATTCGTCGTTTATTGTGGTAACTGTGAAATGTACTACTTAAAACAACCCTTTCAACATAGAAATCAGAATGAACCAAATGCTAGTTTGTCTGTTAAAAAGATATATTAAAACTACACAAAGTAAGCTTGTTGGAAACTACTGTATTCAATGTTATTTATACATATAAATAACATTTTATTTTCTCTCTAGCCTTTATATTCTTAAATTTAAACCTAATTTTGAATTTCCAAGATTAAACATTGCCTGTAATATAATTTAAAATTTATTATCTCGTTGAAATGTTAATCTAGTAAAAAATACAACAAAGAAAAACAATAAGGGTCTGTAATGTGGCGCCCTCTATTGGTAGACACTTGTTGATAGGATAAATGCCCTAACTGCAGAATTGCCACTCATTCAGATAGAATGTGTCAGGACAGGTGGTATGTTAAGGTGGTGGTGTCCTCAATCTGGCCATTTAAACAGTTTAATTCGCTTATTAATACGTTTTGTTTCCTTAACGTGGTAAAAAAAAAGTCAGCAAGGATGCATATGATAGAATAACACCGTAGCAGGATTAACCAATAGCATGTGATTTTAACCGACGCTTTAAGGAGCAGTTTGGACGGAAGGACAGCGTCTGCCTTCGGCCAATTTCCCGCAAGAGTCGGTTATTGTTTATGGTGCTCGGGTAAACCTTAGCTAAAACCCACCGCTATTCCATCAGCAGTTTTCCGAAAAGCCGAGATTAAGATTCTTATTTCAAGAGTTGCGTATGTTTCCGAGCTAGACGAGCCCTGTATCGCGGCCAGTGCGTGCTGACATAATAACAATGATTCACATTGCAGTTGTTGGTAAGAGGTATCGTCTTGGAATTAATTAGAAAAGTTAGCTAGGAGATGAAACAAAACAAAGTGTCGCTTTATTTGTTGAATTATATATATATATAAAAGGTTGAACTTCGAAACACAAACCTAAATTTATTCAGTTATGTTGAAAATTTTTATAGCATTTTGAGTGAAATTGGGGTATGTTTCTGGACAATCTCTATGTCCGAGAAGCAAGAAGTTACTTCGCCGTCCGTTTCGGTCAAGGAGAGGATTCGAGAGATAAATGCTCGGTTAGTAGCAGCAGATGGACAACCAACCGGATTGATAAAATTGAGGGAAAGAGATGTCTCTGGAAGTGCAGTCGCTCAGCCAAAAAATTTATTAGTCTCAGTTAATGCAAAAAACAAAACATGCTATCTTGGAGAAGAAGAGATAAAAAGCAGCGTGAGTTTTTGTATGACAGAGCTAGAACTTAAACGCAGAAGCCGTCCGACTAATGTACCGATTAGTAAACCTAAGACTAACGTAATGGGCGTTTCCACGGAACTTGTGTCAACAAATGATACTATCTCGGAACTGTGTTTGAATCATGATTTGGCCTATAGCCGCGTGTGTGGGTCGAACATCCCAAAAATAGCAGAGCATCAGAAACAACAGGACTGTGGCTGTGTGATTCATGTTAGTCAGAGACAGGACTCTGTGAGTAGCGATACTCCAACCGAGGAAGTCGTGCCTTATCTTACTAGCTGTTCATATCCAAATCTAATAGAAGTTTCTGCGGAAAAGATCTCTGCTTTATATCCTAGTGCGCAGTTTAAGGAAGATGATGAAGTAAGAGAAAGTTTGAAGAAATCCACGTCTCACACACCATCCGGAGTTAGTAATCGTAGTAGTGATCACGATGAGGGTGCGCAAGTAAATCACACAGTTTCCGAAGATTGGCGGGAGTCTTATCGAGTAAGCTTTACTTTACAAATAAACGATTCAGATGAAGTAATACCGGATCCAATTATTGTATGTAGTCAACAAGGAACACGTGACCTAGAAAATACAAATAAATCAGATGAAGTACGAATAAAGAATGAAGTGTGTACTATCGATGGTGAATTTAGTGAAAAAACACTGACGAATACGAAATGCAGTCTCGAACGCCCCCTTTCTGTAGAAGAAGATTGCAAAAAGTTTAAAGACTCTGCTTGCGAGAATATATACGTTTCTAATTCTGAACTCAACGAGAGGTCTAGAGGAGGAACAGGGTCTGTGAATAGCGAATCTATCTTTAGAGAGTCATCTGCTCTTTATAAATTACATTCTCATTCAAGCCAAGTTAGCTCAGTTTCGCACTTTAATGAAGAGAATTCAGAAGCTCAAGTTCGTATCCAGTCAAAAAAATCACCTTTCGATGACATATTGAGTTCTCTGGAAAAAATTTGTGATGAATTCGAGGTTACTAGTGCCGAGATACATTGTGAAAATAATGAAAAAAAGGGAGATTCAAATTCTCATTTAGAGAATTCTGGAGATGTGAGACAAATATTCAGTGACTCAACCGTTTCTTCAAGAGCATTATCGTATCTTGACAAAACAAAGTATTGTATTTGCTCCTATGGTCATAATACAGCCTGTAAGGTACCTTTTTCCCGCTCAAATGCTAGACCAATTTGTGATAATGATGATTGTTGTTCTCTTTGTTTACCTGAAGATTTCTCAAACACAAACTTTGAAGACAATTTGAAAGACGCCAGAGAGGAAAGTTTAACAAATTCAAATGTATCCAATGATTTTCTTTGCGAATGTTTGGAGTTAGGTTTATCTTTCAAACCTGAATTCTTTGGTTCAAAATCAGGTGACGCTAAAACCCAATACCCACATTGCAAAAGGAAATTAAGTAACTATGATAATATTGATAATATAACTTTTAATGATGAAAGCAAAGATGCATTGACATTTCGATTTGAGACTAGGATGGACAGTGGAGCAAAAAGTAGCAAATACTATACGTTTAATCGTAGCGACAGAGTTAATAATAAAGCATCAAAAGTTCAACTCATACCAAATTTCCGTATCACCACATTAACGAAGGTTCCACCTACTGCTACAGAACTTGAGTCAACTCAGGCATCAAGGTCTCTGCCTTCTACTCCTCTTGCCTCAAGAGCTCATTTTCAGGTAAGATCTAAACCAGACTTGCCTGCATATCTAACACTAGGTAGGAAAGGAGGTTTACGAAGAGGTAGTGAGGGGAACAAACATGATATTCTGAGCTATATTGCACCAAACCATTTTGTTGATGCTTATACTGAAACTAAAGACGTCAAACAAATAAGAAAAATTTTAGCTGGACTAGATTTTTCTAAATATCGGCGTGGTAGAAGTGAAGAACAAATCGAAACTAAATCTAAAACATCATTTTCATCTAATAAAATTACAGAAAATGTTAGTAATGATTTCAAAGAGTTATACCGAGATAGATTATTTTTAAGTAAGTTTAATGAGACAACTAAAAGCTTCCATGGTAGTCTAACAGAAGTTAAACCTACCAAAGAACTTGATAATATTTTTCAAAGAAGTACTTCTCTACTGGATTCTCTCAATCATAACTTCCAATGTAGTACACTTTGTCAGTATCAGGTTAACGATACTGTTAACACAAGTAATATTATTGTGAATAACAGTCAAGATCCAGGAAAATTTCGTTTCAGCACATTAAGGTCACGGAAAAGTGAGAGTAACCCATTTCAACGGACACCTGATTATCAACATAAACATCCACCTCATCATCCATTTATTACCATGAATCATAGTAAGTCTCTTCAGTCAGTTTCAGGATCTACAGATAAAAATGGAAATAAGAAATTAAAGCAGTTAACTGAAAAACTAAAGTCTCAATCTTCGTCGACTGTTCCGTCTTCCCCAAGCTTCTCATCGGCTAAAGATTCCGAGTCAAGTGAACCCTCTGGGAGAAAATCGCCTCTAGTGAATAGAAGTTCGTCTTTTTCACATGTAGACGTAACTTTAGAGGGTGGTTATGTTATGTCCAGTGATTGTTCTAACAGAGATTCGACTTATAGTCTCATTTCAGGATTAGCAACATTACCACGAAAAAAAATTACACAGTTTTCTAGTCTTTCAGATAAAGGTCACACCTCCAGCAATAAACCTGTAAAAGACAATGCCTTGATACCACCGAATTTGGAGTTAAATCAGTCTGATTTGTTAATCAGTTCTGTTGTAGATTCAGTAGTAGACGAAGGTCTAGTATCTGATTCTGACTGTCCATCCTACTCTCATGAGTACAGTTCCGTTACCACATCTTCCTCCCAATCTTGTGACTCAAAATCATTGGTATCATTTATTCGTAACAGAACCAATACTTACGCAGGTGTTGAACTTGGAACCCATTCTTTGCCAAGTGAAGCTAGAAAACGAAGGAAAGGTTTCAGGGGTCATACAGTTGGTTTTAAATTAGGTTCTCATGAAAGCAAATCCAGTAATGGTAGGCTTTTGACATATCCACCTCAGCGACGATGTTCCAAGTCAGATGATGAACTGGAATATACCTCTGTCGACAGTAATGGCTTGAAATCTCTGAAGACGTCTCCAGGTCTTAGTTTGCCTCTTAGCGAAGATCCTTTGCATCAGACCAGTGATCTGTCTCTGGCAGACAGTCACTTTAGTCACGGCGAAAGCTTTCGTGACGAAACTTATCGAGATATTTTAGATAAGCTCACAGGAGAATCAAATCACGTAACCTTAGAAGAAAGAAATGTAAAGGCTTTGAAGAAAAAATACCATAGCGATCCTAGTAGAGGAAATACTGGGAAGAACGTCGATCTGCCAGAAATAATAACAACGTGTAACAGCGAATCAATGCTACGTAGTTTTGACAGTTCTAATGAAATACAACAACCTGAACTAAGATTAGGTATAAAAGAATCTTTAAGTGATGATGCAAATTTGGTGCTATCGGATTTAACGAATCATCAAACTAAACAAGGTCTGGGATGTTCACCCCCACAAACAAGGTTATCAGGACCAGACTTCGATTTGGACAAAGAAAAACTTATGACCAGAAGCCCTCAACAACAAAGAAGGTACTCTAAGAAACGCTTGAGAGGACCATACGGTGAGATGCTAGAAGAAGAAATGAGGAAATCTGGAGAAAAACAAAAAACAAACTTTTCCGAAGAACTTAGTTTCTTGCAAGAGCTAAGTGAAGAAAAACCGAAAGATGACTCTCAGTTATTCTCTGAATATCCTTCCCGTCCATGTAGCTTATCTACTAGCCAATCATTGGATGATACAGATTTAAAGAAACCTTCGCTTTCTGAATCCGGCATTTTAAGGCGAAAAACCAGTGCTAATATCCCTTTGGTACAAAGTGACAGTGACAGTGAAGTTTCCCATTTATCCCCTCCCCCAGTTACAGTGTTTTCTTCGGACCCCAATATATCACAGAGCCCTTCGGATCTACAAGTATGTGAAAACAACGCGACCTCTTGGAATCAACAACAGGATGCTTTAGTATTTGAACTGAGAAAACAGTCGGAATTGACGAGGTCGAGATCTTTAAAGAAACATCAGGTAAAATCTTAATCATTATCTTTAGTATGATTTAATCATTATAATAAGTAGAATGGTTCTTTTACAAAACAACAACAACTAACAATAAACTTTAGAGTATATGCATATATTTAATCGATAAAGTTTAGGATAGCGAACATGATTTACTTAATTATACGTGTATAATAATTACTTACTAGCAGAGACACGCAAAACAATTGCGGTCAAATTAGTATCTTTATTGCAAACGTACTTTTTTAAATATAGGATTTATAGAATAATTTTAATTTGCAGACACCGAAATCTATAAGCCCACGTGTCTTAGGCATGACACGAGTTAAGCCTTTATTAAGTACGGCTTATATTCGATAGAGATAAATTAACACTGTAACGTGTGTAAGTTTTTGCTTTTGTTTAGTTAGGGCTAAACTTTACCGTACTTTATACTATCAATAAATAGACTTATAACGTTATTATACAACCTAACGTTAGTCATTTTTAAAAACTTTGATAAGTTTTTAATATGTTGTTGTACAAAATATCTACTAAAGTATATTTACATCCGCCTTTTGTTTACATCCGTTGAAAATGAGTGCACGCGCATGCGCATTTTGAGGACAGAGAAAAATCTGAGTATTATAATAATAGACATTACCTACTTAGAGTTTGGCGCATGGATGCGTAATTGTTGATAATATCACGTGCTTCGTTTGGAATATTTATTAAAGTCAGAGGAAGCTATAAATCAGAATAGTATTTTTTTAATCAGTACATAGCCACTTTTGGATAGTTAAAATATCCAATAAACCAAAGCATACACACTACAAGGATTGCACCTGTCCGTTTTTTCTTTAGATTCTCAGTCTTTATGGCCGTGGGGATTTTAAAGTTATGCCAGCTTTTTTTTTTTTGCACATGATAATGAACCGCTTATATTGATGGGAGACAATTTATTTTGAAGTTGTATATTCAAATAAATTCGAGAAAGTTTGAATCTGAAAGGTAACGAATAGTTTTAGTTTGAGCGGTAGAAAAACAAACGGCGATTTGACACGCTTTGTTCATTGGTTAAGAACGTTATAAAACAAATAACCTGCTGCTTTTACCTAAGTATAACTACTCGGGAAATATTGATTTCAATGTAAACTTTTATGGCTTTAAACATGCTTGTTTAAAGAGAAAACAATGGTTTAGAATAAGCTTAGTAAACAAAACCTATAAGAAATTAAATTTATATTATCATTTTGCAAGACTTTTAGTCCTGTTGTTGGCTAGCAAACAACAATATAAGAAAACTAACGAAAAATGACCGATTTAAGCAGATGCTGTATAATTGTACGTTAAGTTTTAGAAACTTAAGATGAACAATAAACTGTGTAGAATATAGATAACTATATTGTTGCATAAATCATTGTTGCGGGATTGCGACTGATATCAGATTTTGGAAGTCAATAATTAAACAACGTAAGTTACAACAAAGGGGGAATTTTAAAAAAAAATAGATTTATGCGCTACAACCGAAGAACGTAGACATCAAGTGAACGACGTTCGTAAAGACACATTAACTTGCCATGCTAAATTGCAAACCATTGGATTCTGATGCGTAAACTTAACTATTAAACTGATGAAACAAAATGCGAGGAGTTAGGTTTAACTACTTTTGACGAAATAAATAATGTACATCTAAATGAATAAGAATACAAACCATCGTGTTTGTTTCTTAATTATTATCTAAGCAGTCTAAACACTAATAATAATTTTACGGTATTCTGTGGTTTTGTATAACTAAACAATTAAAGCAAAATATAAATAAATAGTATGGTTTGTCTGCCATCTTGTGGTAGTTATATAATTGTGTTGTAGAGTTTAGTATTCTAAGCAATAACTTCTTTAGACTACCAGTTTTTGGTTTTGATATAATTCCATCGTGGATCTGATAAACGTGACCGTAAATTGTAAACTGTTTAAAACCACTTTTTATGATTCTTATAAAAACGAGTTTAGTAGTTTTGAGTAATGTACGCTTCAAACTTTGTTGGCGACACCCGTTCACTGTTGTGTAGCTAGCTGTATGGTGGAGCTAATCATGGTTGAGGTAATCTGTCTTGACAGGGTTTTAAGCTTGCGTTTACAAAATGGCTACAGTTTAAATGATGCAGCGAGAGTACTAAATGCGGGGCACATTGTCAACTTTTTTTTTTTTCTTTTTTAACTAAGATTAGTTTGTTCAGTGTAGAAGCTGTCAGGAAACAACGCATTATGAAACTGTAAATATTTAAACACCTTTGCTAATCCTAGAATTCCTGATGGGGTCCAGACCCCATCGTTCACATTTCTATAAACTATATACGCATCAGATTGCTTATGGGTCCCTGACTTTGTTTACTGCAGAATTCCTAACAACGTATGGGTTATACAAAACAATGTAAACAAAAAACATCATATACATTAGAAGTAGTCCTAGTCATTACTGCTGGAATACTACCTATTAGTTACTGCTGGAATACTATCTATTAGTTACTGTTGGAATACTTCCTATTAGTTACTGCTGGAATACTACCTATTAATCACTGCTGGAATACTACCTATTAGTTACTGCTGGAATACTACCTATTAATTACTGCTGGAATACTATCTATTAGTTACTGCTGGAATACTACCTATTAATTACTGCTGGAATACTACCTATTAGTTACTACTGGAATACTATCATACATTATTTTTAGAAAGTGAGCTACTTCACCCTATTTATTTGGTCAGTTCTTTACGCTCACTGCTGTAACAGACAAAAATTTAGAATTACTCGATAAATAAATCGATAATTTGATAATTAGTCGAGTGAAAGGTCTGGTCTACAAGAAGGTGTAGTTGAATGAATATGATTGCACTTTTATTATAGGTAACCCGTGTTGAGATTATCAAGAATATAGTGTTTATACTTATTATTTCACTCTATACTCCAAAAGAGTTAATTCTTTAAACTTCAAACGTGTTGTTATTTGTAAAAACGATAAGGATATATTATAAAACCACGTGGTTTATTGAAAGCACACTTAAGGACGCTGATCCTCTTATTCACAGTACACACACATATATCACGTCATACATTCAAACCAAAATTAAGACGACAATAACAACAACAAAATAAATACACATACACAAAAGGCTAGGAAATAAACAATTAGCTCTATAGTCGTGAAATATCCAGGTCTCCCTTTTAATGGGGTTCAGTCCAAAATCTTTTGCCAGGCTGACACCCCCAGACCCCACATGAGTAGGATTCCTTTTTTTGTTTTCTTCTGATGCCTACGAAGCTTGTTACTGCATTATTAAACCACGTCATGTTATGTACAGGAATTGTGGATGTATATTACAAAATATAGAAGATATTACGGTTCATTTGTTAATCTGTGAGCTATTACAAATTTGATAATTCAGACAATTATAATTTAAATATATTTTGCCGAAAACACTGTTTTCCATACCGGCATATTTCCACTCAGTGCCACTGGTTTCGTGTTTCTACTGCAGTTGTTGCTTTACTAGTTTGTCTTTATACAAGAAGATCGTGGGGAAGCAGTAATGGCAAGCTATAATAACTATTCAACTGATAATTTTTAAAGCATAATAATTCATTGCTATTTATTAGTTTGTATTGTTATAAGAACAACGTGAATTATTTGCTTTTTGTATGATCATAATGAAAGCTATAATAACAGAGAACCTCGATACCTCTGTCACGCCATCTGGAGGTTTTTGCATTCAAGGACCGGTCATGTTTTTGTTGCACTAACAAAGTATATATTGTCCTTATCGTCTAAGCGCTTGCGCTGTGTCGATGATCCTCATAAAATGTCATAATATGCATGGTAAGCAGTAGCAACCAATAGTGTGTCACCTTGAATTTTTTAATGTGGAACGAGATTGGTCATTACATTAAGATGTAGCAGGGAAGGCCAAAGACTTTGCGTTACTGATTGTTTAGAGTGAACTGTTAGGTATTTTTAACCCTCGTTGTTGGAAAAGGATTACCAACAATGTGGATGGTCAACAAACGTCTGATTAAATATTCTGTTTTTACAACGCACTGAAATAAAAATATTAGTATACGATAGGAATAAAGTAACAGCTAAATTATGATATTTTTTTCCTGGAACGCTGTCCTTTCACTGGTGTAAGGAATGTCTTATCATTTTCTTAAAAGTCATACGTAAACAGATGTAGCAACCTCAATATTTCCAGAAGAAATGTATAAACAATTATATAGATTATTTTTGTATATTTCTATTTTATGTCTTTTATTATTCATTTGCCCCTAAAATGCCCCCATTGCTAAAAATAAATTCTGGGTTTCCTTTTTTCAAAAAGAAATCTACCAAACGAAGCTTCTTTTGTATTGATACTATTTTATGGTCACAAAAAGCTTATCTTTTTGCAAGAAGGTTCAAAGCTATACAATGGGCTAATTGGGCTCTGCCCACTGAGGGTATCGAAATACGAATTTTACCGTTTAAAACTTACCACTGAGCCAAGGTGGGGCTGAGAAAAAAAGAGCAGCTTATGAATCTATGCGTCTATAAGAGTCGATCGTTGTCGGTGAAATAGTTAAGACGAATCAAACGTGAATATTATATATATATATATATATAATTTAGTTTATTTCTGAAAGAGGTTAATATTTAGGTCTTTAAAAATGATACAAAAACATCTTTTCAAAATTCTATTTCATAGTTAACGTAGAGCCTAACATTTTATTATTCAACTCGTCCGTTACGTTATTGACTTCCAAGATAGTTCTCAGATTTTTTTTGTGATGTGTGAGCTTTTTATTTAAACTTATTGTATCATTTCTGCTTTTCAAAGCATGTAGCTTTTGCCAAAATCACTTTCATGTTATTCTTAGAAATCATTTTCATAATTCCGTCATTTTTCTTTCAAATTGATATATCAATAAACTTTCACTTGCTAGGAAACAAAGGCCCGGTGTATTTTTGTTTGTTAAGAAACCATGAAATGAAAGT